TCTGCTGTTATAAATTACAATATTGCAATTATTTAACTCTGACAAACAATTTAAATAAACTTTAGAAACACCTCTTGGAAAATATAAATTATCATAATTAATAATATTTATCTCTGTCAAAAAAATCAAATAAAATTAAAAAAAAAACCTTTTGAAATGTATGTATAATCCCACGAATTTTATAATTCTCATACAAAATAAAAAATAAAATTTTAAACCACCTTTTAAAAACGTATGTTTAACTCCTCTTGCAAATTACATTATCATTACATATTGTTTATCCCTCGCTAATTCCTGTACTTAAATCAATCATTCAATTTAAGCTTGTCAGGTGTTAATTAAAATGGGATATTAAGATTTTAAAAATTCACAACTGATTTTATTGACCCCACTTGGGGAAATAGTACATTATCCCCTATTGATTGGCAAATAAACCTCGTTCACAAAAGACCAGCAATGCGCCAATTTAAATGTTTAATCCGCTTCATTATCGCTCAATCATTGGCTCATTTATCGAAAAGAGGTTAAATATTTGGCCGCATCGTGATTGCTAATAAACTAATTAAAACAGCGCCAAATGAAATGAATGAACACCAATTTCGAGTGCATATAAATACCGCAATGACCACGTTCGATGGTTTTTGGGATCAACTGTATTATATTTTGTATAAATTTCACCCGAGGCAAATAGTTTCTAGTTAGAATGGAACAAATGGCACTGCAACTAGAAGCGAGATAAAGTTCTGTACATTAATATGTCCACACATTTGTCATTTCTATTTTCTGTATATATTTTTTTTTGCTCCGATTGTCGCCAGTAGCTGGCAATTTGTCCTCCACTCTGCAAACAGTGCATCCATCAACCGATTGTTGAACTGTCTCAAATGTATCTCTTTGCATGGGATTGTATATCCCAGAGCAGACCATGAGCCATGAGTGAGCTCACTGTGGCCTGACTGATGACATGTGCCGGCCTCCCAAATCGCACAGTGAACTTACACTATAAAAGAAATATTAAACAATATTATTATTTAAACTTGTAATACCTATATTAGTTGCCAAAGTAATTTATAAAGTTTAAATTTTGAGTGCCTATAAAAAAATTGAGTGACTTTCCATAGCGCAAACCTTAAAGAAATGCTAAAATTAAATCTGCTAGGCTTTGGAGTTTTTAAAAAATACCAGCAAAACTAAAATTTAATTAAATTAATTAAAATTAAAATTAAATTTCAAAAAACAAATACATACAAATACTAAAACTTACCTTTAGCTAATGTTATACAAGTCAGCCACTTGGTTATATGTAGGTACAAATTTTCTTTATTGTATATCATATTTATGATGGTAATTGTGCCACAGTGTCTATCTAAATATCTTTTTTATCTGCCTTTTTTCGAGGGTGTTACAAGCTGCCGGACTTCTATTTGTGCTTAATCATTGAAAAGTCTACATCCACATGCCCATGAGTCACAGCCACCCATTCCGATTCGGAGGCAAAGCCAGACCAAATGGAAAACAATCAAACAGAGACAGCCAGAAACTGACATAATAGGAAAAGCAAGGGAAAAAGAGCAATATCAGAGTCCACAATTTGTGATAGTTGTTCAAATGACTACGGTTCAAGTCCGCTTTAATGGATGACCCATATTTGTGGCCACCAGTTGATTATAAAATGCATTAATGGACGTAAGGCGTGAATTTCTCGAGCTAATTTCTGAGTTGGCCTTAATTGATTTTCTTCTTTCATTTCTCTTTTCGGAAAAGTCAAAGGTTAAGCTCGAAGGCGTGGCGAAATGCAGTAAGCCATTGTCTGGTTACCCAGAAGAAACAGTTTATGCAAAGCACTTCAATATATTTTATGAAGAGATCTCTTGTCGCAGCCCCTTGTCTTGTGGGTTTTATGGCAGGGGCTTGGATGTGAGGCACTTAGGCAAAGTCACTCACAGTGGCAGTTCGTAGCCAAAAACATTTACAAACACACAAACACACAGGCCCCAAAACCTCAAACATGCAACAGCTGCCACCCGGCTGCAACTTGCAATTTATTGCAGCCTCATCTGCTTGGACCACTAACTGCAAATGATGCTCCCCCAAAATGTTTTGTGGCCCCTACTGCTATTATGCGGATCTAGAGGCCTCGGAGGCACACAAATGGCAAACACTCTCTTGACAAAGCTTTAATTTTAATTGGAAAATACTAAGCTTGCCTGAAAGTGTTAATAAAAAAAGACCTAGCAATTGGTTTTTAGCCTAAGAAACCCATTTGTTATTGGTAATAATAATAAAATACATAATTAAATATAAAAACAAAAAAAAAAAACAAAAGGAAAAACTTATTTGAGAAAGCTTTAACTTTTAATGGAAATAACAAAATATGCTTAAAGTGGTAAAAAAAAGAGTTGAAATGACTTCGGTGGATTTATATTTAAAATGGAATATATATATTTTTATGCGCTAATCAAAGTGTGCAAATGTTTTAAGAATTAATTGCTTCATCTTTAAACTAAAGTGAACTTAAATTTTTAAATCATTTCCAGAAAATGTTAGGAAAAAGCTGGCTTAGCAGACAGATTTCAAATCGTAAAACATTTTTATTGGCTTGTTAAGTAATTATAATAATAAACACATAAACATACATTGGTTTTTCCAAAAACAGATAGTAAACATAGCGCTGAGTTTTTATAAAGCATATCGTAATAAATACCACCCTAAGATAATAATACCACCTAATAATAATAATAAAAGACAAAGACGTACATCGTTTATCCCACAAACAGATAGTAAAAATGAGCCATCTCCAAGGCAATCTCTATAATTGGCAACCATATAATGTGCTCCATTCGAATAATACCAATAACTATAACTATGTTAGCTCGTTTTGTTGACTGATTTACGGCCTGACCTTAGCAGAAATAGAAAGGAAGATCAAAGCCTGGCCACAAAAACAAATAACTATATATTACGTATTTAATTGAGTCTTGCAAGACCACTGCAGTTTGCTGTCATGAGGAAGCTAACCAAATAACAACAAATAAAAAACAAAAAAGCCAAAGACAACGAAGATGCCACACAAATTTAGCTACCAAAACAATTTGCAATTGTTGCTGCTGCTGCTGCTGCTGCTGATGCGGCCGCAATTTGGTTGGCATGGCACACAATTTGGTTTTCCATGCCACAGAAGAGTTGCATATTGCATAACGCTACTGCAGTTTTCCACCCCACACAATCGTCCATCAACTGAAAATCGGGGGAGGTGAGGTGTGGCAAATGTGGCAAATGTGGAAAACGGTAGACCGGGTGGCACATGTGAGTTTTCCCATTAACTTGTTGGGTCAATCCATCGTTGGTGTTGGCCAAACATAACAGATAATTATGTTTCTGTTTGCCCAGAGGATTCGAGCCGCTTTCACGGTTCGTTGAGCTCACTTCTTCCAAATTTACCACTTTGTCTAGCCATTGACTCATCACCAGCCATCTTCTTGTTGACATTAAACTGATGGCTCTTGCTGGTTCGCAAAATGTCATTAAAAGTAGATAGAAATTTTCTTTCTTTTTGATGCTCTAGGAAATTAACCATAGACAAACCTTGTTTTATAATCAATCTTTAAAAACATGGGTAAAGTTGGTAGGAAACGTTTGGATAATAAAAAGTATGAAATGCTTGAAAGTGAAACTTTCGAAAGTTTATCTTATTGGAAATATTGTTTTACGAACTAACATTATTCAAACACTGGTAAAAAAAAACGTAGTTAATCCAAATAGTGTATTACTCAATTTAAACATTTGTTTTCAATGCCTGCCAGTAAAACTGTCGAAAGTTGAACTTCATAACGCAGAAGAGTAAATATGTTTTATCTAAAAATAATAATATAGCCTTATTATAACATGTGACAAACCTCTTAATATATATTCACCACAAAATTCGGTGTTCAATAAAACTTTGTGGGACAACTTTTTTGATTATGCTAATGTAACCCTTTTTGGTAAAAAAAACTTTTACCGCACTTGCTATGCGTGGCCCAAAAAAATGTCTGGCCAACAAACAAACTGAATAACAAGATTTCTGGGCCCATGACATGTAGCATAAACAATTTCTATCAGAGTTCGAGTTCAATGCTTGTTTTTCTGCCTGTCGACAGAAGGAGCATTTGTCAATATTTTCGGTTCCAAATGGCGTGCATAGACTTTTAATTGAATTCTGTTGTTTCTTGGTTTTTTTTTTGGGTGTGGTTCTCCCCTATAAAAGCTCTGATTTGTAATGCAAAAAAAAAGAAACGGAAAACCCGAAACAGATTGCAATAAATGATAAAACTACGCCTGTTTCGTTTCTTCGCATTTTCTTGTTTGGGTGAAAACTAAATTTGATACGTTCCAATTACTAAATTATGCAGTTAGGAGCTCTTTCGATGTGAAAATCATTCAGCTGGAAGAGTGCACACGCTCAGAGTCAGAGACTCAGATACTCAGATACCCAGACCATGGAGAAGTGGGAAAAACACGAAGCCCCAGCCAAGATTAAAGAAATCTCGGCTCTACTCTCGTTCAAACAAACAGACAGCAAAATAAAACCAAATTGTGGCTAAGGTTGAGTGATTTAGGGGGAGAAACACATGCACGGTCAGCTTAAAGAAGCAAATTAAAATTGTGTAAAGAAAATGGCAATAAAAGATAATTGGGGAACACGGAAAATTGTCACTAATTAGAAAATGGAAATTTTGTACTGTGAAAAAAGATATTAATTAGCAATATACAATTTCGAGGCAAGGGCTAAACGTTGAGCTTACTATGGAAAATTTAAAGAAATCGATGCTTAATAGCAATAGCAACCATTAAAACCCAAATTAAAAGCCATACCAAATTTCTATTAAAAAATTGAAAGTATTGAAATGATGCTAGATTTGTCAACAAATAGCGATTCTCAATAACATATTGGAAAAATAGTTAATTTTAAAGCTTCTGGAATACCAAAGCCATTGGAGCCATTAAAACGAAATTTTAAATCCATAATAAAATTATAATAACTCTTGACTTATGCAAGATTCTACTGAAAGTTCGAAAGTAGGAATGATGCAAAATCTAAATGGCAGGCTCGCCATGACCACGTTCCTCGGTGACCCTCTTCTCAGTTGCAATGTCGGCCAGCATTTTTTGGGTTTCGCGGGCCAAATTTACCAGGTTGCGAAGGTCATGCTCCAAAGTTTTGATGCGTTTAGCTTGGATACCGACGACCCGTTGGTAGTATTTGATTGCATCTGGGTAACGCCTGCAATCAATATCCTCCGGTTGAACGTACAAAAGTTGATTTTCGTATGATGATGCCTTCTTGAAAGTCTTGTTCAGCATCATTATAATGTGAGATAGAGCACGAAATGAGATGCGTGATGATGGTTTCTTCATTATCGGAACTGCCTGGGATTCCAGGGATCTGGAGATGATATCATCAATAACTGAACCGGTGGAGAAATTCGTCTTGAGGTCCTCGTTTTTGGTTGTATTCAAAATTGGGGAATCTATCATGAACTCCTGCTGCGATTCCTCATTTTGCTGAGTGATTAAATTGGTGGCCATTGCAAAATGGTAACAGCTTATCAAATTTTGGATGTATTTTGTATTTGCACTGCCTGATGATTGTTATATTGTAAGGGATTTTATTAAAATAGACTAGAGTTCTTTTCCAAGGCTTTCTGGGGTTTAAATACTTTTTTAAAACAATATATTTAAAAATATAATAGTTTTAAAAACTTTTAACTCAAAAACAACAGTTAAGATATTCATAATTTCATAAAGAAATAACTTAAAAACATAATAATTTCATAAAGAAATAACTTAAAACCCATAACATTATCAAACAAAGTCCATATGAATCAAAAACAAAAACCTATTTATACCATTATTTTAAGCTTTCAGTATTTATCATAGTTTAATTGAGTTTAGTTTCTGTGGCTTTTATCCTAGTTCTGCGCATAAATCATTAAAATGGAAAAATGAACACAATCTTCACCCCATTTCGCCATAAAAATCATATATTTTCTGTGACCCCAATCAAAAAACAATCAATGCCATCAAATGGTTTTGAACTCAATTCAAAACAATTTGCTTTTCTTTGCTATTTCTCTTTCATTTGGCTGCAAAACATTGAACTCGAGCAATGAACGCAGAGATGACCAAAAAAAGACAAACATTTATGGCAACTTGTTGCTCTGGCTTAGCTTGTTACCAAAAGTTGATGATAGTTTTTTGCCAAAAAGTTAATGACAAACTAGAATCTGATGAGCTCGAAAAGTGGATGATATGGAGTCTTGACTTTGAACTTTTTGCGTGGGCAAAAAGTTTCGTTTTTCCCTTGACGTCAGTGGTATTATTTTTCAGACATTGATCTGCCAGGAATATCCATAAATAGATTCTGTTTGCAATGGGGAGTTGCTGGACCCAAAGGACAAATAAATTTGCAAATGGAGAGGAAAGTTTACATTTTTATTTTCTACCATCTTGGGATAAAAATAGCTCTGAAAATTGAGTGCGTAATTAGAGCTAACATATAAAGTTTGGCCAATCAGCGACCCCAGTTTCCACTTCAAACAATGAAACTAATTAAGACACCATTGAAATTTGAATTGAAACTACACACACACAGTTCGCTTAACTTCAATGAAGAGGTCCTGCCACAATGCATTTCCATTGGTATTTGGCTTCGAGGCTTACTTCTTGGTTACACGCTCCATTGTGTTTACGCTGCGTATACGTAATCCGGTTTGTTTATGGAACAGTTTAGGTAACAGTTGGATTGTTTCTGCCAGCCTTGAGGTGGTTGTAATCTGAAGCTCAAAATTGCAGTGGGTGGTCTTGAAGTGACACCCATATTGACTGGAGGTAATTGCAATTGAACCATTGACTTTCATCTTCAGACTGATTTCTCAGAATATTGGCTTTCCTTTCAAATGATTCTGCAAAAAACATTTTGTAGGATATACCGAATCTGAAGTTCAATTTTACAGAATAGAACCAAATTTCATAACTTAAGCTAAGAACTAAAAATACAACTAATTTCGAATAATATACCCAGCTAGTCGTTCAAATCTAAAAAGGCTTTCAACCAATTCCAAATCAAATCCAACTCAATAAGTAAAACGAGTATTCAACATCTGCTTCCACTCAAATAGCAGAGCTTCTCCAACCCAATTCAAAGACGCTTTTACTGACTACTTGGCTGGCTAACTGACCCAACTAAATTGACAAATGAATCATTTCACTCCGCCAAACAGTGACCCAATTTTCTCAGAGCCCTGAAAGAGGGTTCCATTGCCCCAGTTCTTTTCGGTTCGGTTATTAATTGTCCTCTTGCGTTGAATCTATTTGTCAAGAGTTTTGTCAGGAGCCCTTTTATCGGCTGAGCTCTGCTAACTCTGATTTATGTGTGGCAAACGTATTGAAAGCGATTTCTTTTTCAGCTGACTTTGGCACTTTGTGTGTTGCACGCTGCGTATGCGTGATTTTAATTTTAAGTAGAGCTCTTTGTTGCCTGCTTTTTTGGATATTTCTCACTCCCAATCGTTACGCTTGAAACATGTTGCCTTTTAGCAACAAATTTGAACGTTAAGTATTTTTTTGAATATGCTTTTTATGCCTAGCTTAGTTTGCATGCAAGATTTCACCCGAAAGCCTTTTCATTTAAAATATTTCATCCCTCAATGTGTTTGCACTTATAAATTATTTACTGAAAATCTCCTAAAATAAGCACTCCCATCTATTGTCTTCATGATAAGTGGGGTTGAGTTACGAGTGGTCTCAAGGTTATTTCAGTGTCTGCTGAGTGACATTGTTGTCCTTGCATTGTCTGTATTTTTAAAAGAGCCAGACACTTTGTTATTCTTTTTGTGTTTGCTTATCGAAAGTTGTCAGGTCTGGGTTTTGTGATTTACTTAAGGGAGGGGTTTTATATTAAAGCTTAAGCTAATAAATGAAATCAATTTGAATGCTTACGAAATTTAAAAAGGGCTATCATCTTCTTGTCTTAAAGAACTTTCAAAATTTGCCACTCGAAGCTTATGTTTTACGGCCTTTCTCCTAAAAGGTTTTCCGTGTTATTTTAGCACAAGTGTCGTTGAGGAATCTTGGTCATTGTTTAAACTGGGTCGTGGTCGTGGTCGTGGTCTGGGCTTCTGGTTCCCCGTTGCTGGCAACATTTGCAATTTATAGATTATTAATCTTGGAGCAAACACGAAAACTGTTCGCAATACTTTGCCTCTTGGTTCTGTTTCTATTCTGCTCTGTTCTGTTGTGTTTCGAGCCAAAACTTTGGGAAAACTTTGCCATAAACCTTGCACGAAACCCAAACCCTTTGGGTGTCTCCTTTGCACTTGAAATAAATATGTGTTGAGCTTAAGTTTTGTTATAAACGGTTTGGTATTTTAAAAGCTAGTATAATAAGTCCCATTCAAAACACAAATTTTTACCAATTTTAATGCTTAAAGTGCAAATTTTTTGAAGTGCAATGTGGTTTCATTTAAAAAATTGTATTTATCTTAAATGTTTTGAATTTTTGTAGCATAATGTTTTTGGTATTTAATTTGATACTTTATTTGTTTATTTTTCATAGTTTTTGTTTTTTTTAAGGTTTATCCTAGTCCAATTTAAAACATAAATTATTGTTTTTTAAGTATTTGATATCCACATGTCTCTTAATTTGGTTTGTATATATTTATGAAAGTTTTTTATTTTTCTATGTGCAGTCGAATGGTTCCCAGTTGAGTTGAGTTATTGCCCCGAACGGGCGTCAACGTCGCCAGTGTGGCGCAGATTAAAGAAATAAATTAAAAGAGTTGTCTAACCCCGCGTGCACTCGGTGTCCTTTTAGGTGGAAAATCGAGCGCTGCGGCTACGTGAGGTGGCCACCGCCATGCAGCAGTACCAGGATGACTCCTCCTCGGCGGCCGCAGCCTCTACCGCCCGCCAGTGGCCACCAGCTGGCGGAGGAGCGGGAGGAGCAGGAGGGGGAGGGGGAGCGGTGGCAGGAGCAGCTGGCAGCGGAGCAGACGATCCCGGCGGCAATGTCATTCTTATCGGGTCTGTCAAGGACTTCGAACGCAATGCCGTCCACGGCCTCAAGTTGCACGGCATTGTGGCTCTGGAGGAGACATCGCAGGTAAGGAGTTTAGAGAAATTTGGATTACTGCCTCATTGACTATTAAATTAACAGTCGGAAAACTTAAAAGATTGGCTAACCAATCTATTAAAGCTGAAATAACGTGTCAAAAGTTTATTTAATTCAATTAATGCATTTCCTTTGATCTTTTCAATTTACAAGTTCTTATCTGTACAAAATATGTTACAAATCAAGCTATAATTCGAGAAACAGTTTAGAAATGATAAGCATTTTCTTATATAGAATGTTCTACAATTACTTTGGACTCCAGCTTTCTAAGAGAAAAGTATAAAAAATGTTTAGTTCGAAACAAATTTTTTATTTTGAATTAAGGAATAAACATTTAAACCTGATAAGTTGTCATGGAAAGTTGAAACCAAAAATCGTTATTCTTTTTTTTTTCAAGGGTCTCACTGGGGGAACAGGAGGACCTGGTGGTCGAGTGCCAGTGGTTCCCAGTGGGCGAGGCACAGAGGTGGAATACTTCAATGAGGCGGGCTACATTCGAGCGGGAGCCCTGCGCAATGGCGAAGATCCCTATATCAGAAATCGATTCAATCAGGAGGCCAGCGATGCTCTGCCCAGTAATCGGGACATACCCGACACTAGAAATCCTATGTAGGTTAATAAAACATCCTTTCTGGAATGGGATATGTATAATTTTGGGTTTTCTTTTAATAAATCAGGTGCCGAAACAAAAAATATCGCGAGGATCTGCCCGAAACGAGTGTCATCATCACCTTCCACAACGAGGCGAGATCTACATTGCTTCGAACCATTGTGAGTGTCCTTAATCGCAGTCCCGAGCACTTGATACGCGAAATTGTCCTAGTGGATGACTACAGTGATCATCGTAAGTAGTTCTTATGTTCTTGAGAAAACCCATTTGTAAGAAAATATGATCTTATTTAACTTTACAACTAGTTAAATTTAAAATATAATCAAAATACAGGAATTAATTTAACTTAAATCAGAAATATTTAAGAAACATCTTGATAACTTGAAATACTTTTAAATTTAGAAATATTCGAGTAAGAGCTTTAATTTTATGAACACAATTTAAAAGATGTTCCGTGGCTTACATCATAATGTTTATGTTTTAAAGCTATATGTTAAGCAATGAACAATGCTTAAAATGCTATTTCTTCTTAAATCTGAAATTATTAAGACGTTTCCTCTAACAGTTTTTAAATCTTTTATTTCCATTACCATGATTCTAACTAATTAACTACATTTTACGCCTTTTGTTTTAAATTTTTTTTTTGATTTACAAATTCTAAAAATATTTCTTAAACGCATATTTCAGCTGAGGATGGTCTGGAGCTGGCGAAGATCGACAAGGTGCGTATTATTCGCAATGACAAGCGCGAGGGTTTGGTGAGGTCAAGGGTCAAGGGAGCGGATGCGGCGGTGAGCAGTGTGCTGACCTTCCTCGACAGCCACGTGGAGTGCAACGAGATGTGGTTGGAGCCGTTGCTGGAACGCGTTCGCGAGGATCCCAGTCGAGTGGTTTGTCCCG